GTAAACAAGTGAAACTCACAAGAACAGTGTAACTATGGTAACTACTACCTTGTTTACCGCTCACTATAAAAAGCTTGGTGAGGCCTGAGCACAGTGGAAGTCCTTCCTCTTGAGTTGGATTCGCCCATCTGGTCCCCCAATATTCCCAAATGATCTCGTGTCTTTTCTTTTTCATTTGTTGTGCGGCTCCTCTTCCAGACCGGAACCCTGAACCACGCAGGACGCGGAGGGAAACACTTACAACATTGAAGAAAGGTGATATGTGTGAAAATAGAATTAGAGACATACATAGATGGAAGGATGTTAACTCAAATGAGAATGCTAATGTTGTCTAAATAGTGTAAATTTGGATGCATTTTAATAGTAAATATTATTTGTAATACATATACTCTGGAAAAAAGTATTCAACAAAAGAATAGGTCTTTACTAGGTGAAAAAAGAGGAATGATAAACACTCTCAATGTTTATAGTCTATCTTAAGGTAACTTTTATAATTTTTTTAAATTTACAATACGGATAGTTTATAGTCACATAAAATAATTTTATTTTTAAAAAGTTATGTACCATTTTTTCTCCCAAAATGGGCACTAATAAAAGAAAAACAATTTCTGGTCAGAGATGAGTTGTGTTCTACTGCTTTTGCCAATGAGAAAATATATACAGCCAGAAAAAAATAATGACTTAGCCAAGTTCCCATTGCTTGCTTGTGGTAAAAATTATAATCCCAAATCTTGTGATTGATTATTCTATGACTTTTCAAATATGCTATTCAGTCTACAGTTTAAAATAAACTTTTCATTAGTTGGAAAGTAGATTTTCTTAGAAACATTAAAAGAATGTTAGGATGTCCTGATACTTCACCATAAAGCAGTGATTTTCAAATAGTGGCCATGGCACACTGGTGTGCTACAAGTATCTCTAAAACATGCAATACCTGACTATTTAGCCAGGGTCACTGACCTCTTTTTCCTTAAATTGTCAAATAAAAAAAAAAATGACAACAATCAACAATATCCATCTGCTGTAAATGAATCAAAATTATACCTATTTATGTCAAATCAGCAAAAAAAATATTTTCTAGTGTGCCACAGAATTTTAGTAGTTAGCTTATATGTGCCATGAGATGAAAAAGGTTGAAAAATCACTGCCATAGAAGAAAGGTAGTGAAGGTCTGGGAGTGGCTCCAGGCCTGAGGAAATTCTGGCCTAAAGACACATGCATCTTTGATTCCTTGGACTATTACAGTAAAATCCATGGTAACACTTGAATTGGATATAAGGATGTCCTGAGAAATTTCAAGCAAAAAAATGAAAATCAGAATTTTTTTCTCATATGACAAACAGGAAAAAAATTGTTTTGTGTCATTTCCTTGTGAAGTAGCAGAATAAAATTGCCTAAAGAGGTTTTTAGAAACAGTTATGAGTACAAACTTTAGTTTTTCTTGTAGCTGTTTCTTAATCTAAAAATTTTTTTTGCTGTTTTTCAGGTGTTAACAAGTATAAGGTGTTAACTTTTGGATTATTTGTAATTGTTATCATTCTTGTTCCCTTAATTATATGTGGTGAGTAAATTTCATACTTTATTTCTTCATCTTTTTTTTCTTTCCCCCTGTTCAGGTCTTCCCATTGAAACAGGAATTTTAGGGGAATAGATGCAGGCTTAGGGAGTTTTTAGAATTGGGGTCCATGGGAAAACACAGGGCTACAGCTTGGGAGAAGGTACATCTCCATAACACAAGGAAGCCAGGGGCAGTCACATTTCCATAAGACAAGGAAGCAGCAACAGGTATATCTCCATAACACCAGGAAACCAGGTGCAGGGAGCAGCAACAGTTGCATTTACATAAGACCAGGGAGCTGGAAGTAGCCAAAAAGGTCTATATTTACAAAATAAAGAGGAAGGGAGAAAGCCCAGAAGGAAAAGAACAATGAAGGAGGGGGGCATCACCTGTCCCATATGAGGTGCCACCTTTGAGCCTAGGAGTTACCCTAGTAACCAGACTAAGGGAATAGTGACCAATCAAAGGGGATATCAAGGCACCAGGATCTGCAGCCTTAATAAGCCATAGGGGAAAAAAACTCAGCGGGACCCTTTTCCCTCTCCCCACGTGGGAGTCCATTTGGTGGGACTCTTTTCCTCTCCCCACCTGGTAGTCTGCACTTGCCCTTCAATAAATTTCCACCTTTGCTATACTACTTTCTGTCCGTGGATTCATTCTTCGATTCTGGCGGAGAAAGAATCTTGGTTCCACTCCAAAAATTCCACTTCATTATTAAATGATTCTTTTTCTTTTTGTTTCATCATGATCTTTTCTTATTATTTTCATTCCCTTCCCTCTAGTCACAATATATTTCATGGTATCAATGAATGAGTA